CCCCCCCCCCGGTTTAGTTTCAGGTCCGCCACATCTGTTTTTATTCTAGGGCCGACTGTTAATATGACAAAATACTTGGGTGCTACAGGGCTTCACAGCACCGAGCAGGTATAGGGAACGAACTTCCTACCAAAAGCAAACTGTTAGTTCTGGTTAAACAACGCTTTTGTAGGCTGGCTTGGAAGGGAGTTTAAAAAACCTTCCATCCCAGCCCCATAAATGAATATAAAGCCTTACAGGCCTTGTGAATATGCAGTATGCAATGAGGCTTTTTTGATTATCATTAACGAATTTTAGTACAACAGGCCAAGTGAGTCACTTCCAGTAAGTTCTGTCAATCATCTCCTGCAGAAATCAGCATTATGAAACCGTTCTATCTCTGTGTATGTCTGTCAATTAGAAAACTTTTGAACCCGTTGGCTAATTTCAGCCAGACTTGACAGACAGAAATGTCTGTCTGAAAACTAACAGATGGGGAGAGGAGGAGAATCTGAAATCTGTGCTCCCCTGCAAGAAAGGCAGGCATAAATTAGTCCTTATTAGTTCCTTCTAGAAGTAGGTGGCTATATGCAGAATTCTTCATTAGCCATTACACGAATGAGAAACAAGAGGAAAATTGTCTGATATGGGAAGTGGAAAAGAACTGAGGATATTTTCGTGGATGGAGAAAGGAATTTAGAGGACAAAAATTACAAAGCTTGGTTTCCTACAGGTTTGCAACTTTAGCTTATAACAGCACAGCTTACTATTTATTTTTTTTTAATGTCCCTTCTGTAGCAGGTTTGTGCGTTTTATTTGTTTGGGGTTTTTTTAAGCAAACAAGTCCTAATAGCCCCTTTGTACTGACTTCTCTATAAACCGTACTTTAAAGATCCTGAGGTACATATTGGCTTATGTACTGTGTTCCTTCCAGACCTGCTTATTTAAAACAGCCTTCTCCTGAATTTGAAAAGGGCATATGTTAAGTACCTCTCTATAACAGTAGTCTCAATCTTCAAACAGTTCTGTTTTGTAGGGTAAAAATGAACGTAGGAGTTGCCCACAGTGAGGTAAATCCAAACACACGGGTGATGAACAGTCGTGGAATGTGGCTGACATATGCACTCGGAGTTGGCATGCTGCACATTGTCTTGCTCAGCATTCCTTTCTTTAGTGTCCCTGTCGCTTGGACTTTAACAAATGTGATTCACAACCTGGTAAGTACCCTCTCTTGTAACAAAATTTGAGAAGTTGTTTATAGGTATTTATTTTTAATAGTAGGAGAAGAGAAAAATAGCCAGGCTGTATCCAGCTAGCCAAAACACCACCTCTACTTGGCTTATCCATTGTTAAATGAGTTTGCTGTTTTGGGGAGGAGGGGTGAGTGATACATGATCACTTTGGGTTTAACCAAAAAAGACGTGAATATTCCTTACATCTTTTATGTATTCTTTTAAAAGGCATTTAATTAAGCTAGAATCTTGCAAACATAAAATCATCATGCCAACCGACTTTTACAGTGTTTTGTATAGTATTAGAGAGCTGTGCTGAATCCATAAAATATATTCCATTTTTAATTCTTGGATATGATCTACTAATGTTTCTATACAAATCTGTTAGTATCCCAAAATGTTTAATTTCAACACTTTACCTGTTCCTTGGCCAGAAATGTTTGTGATCTTTTTCTTTTTGCTTTGATTTCTGGTCAAGCTAGATAAATTTTAGCTCAGAATGACTTCCGTGTACAACTCTGTCACTATACATGACTTAAGAAAAATCTTACTTGAAAGCAGTGAGAAAAACTGGACTACCTTGACCTAAGCCCTGAAATAATTTCTTATTCAGTGGGTTGTGACTTGCATGATGACTTTTGTATGCAAAAGGACTTGTAAGCTGAAGACCTGAAGAATCTTTCTGCCTCCTCTCCCCAATTTTGTTGTAATCATTTAAAGTAACACAAATATGTATATTGGTCCTGCCGAGCTTAGAGAAAAGAGGGCCATAATTCAGTAATTTATCTCATACTTGAGGTTTGCTAACTCAGCTTTCTAAGATTAACAGCAAAGAAGTCTTGACAAAAAGGTAGCTTCTTCCTTATTTAGGAAAATTATAGTTCACGGTAAAGACTGAGGTTGGAAAATATCCTCTTGAATATTGTAAAAACAGTAATTTATTTGAGCTTTTTATTTTTGTAGATAGGTTTAAAACTAATAGTGGGTTTATAAGCATCATTAGAGCATTTTGTACGTTATCTTTGACAACATCAGACATGCCTGACTTTGGAAGACGTTCGCAGAGACAACTATTACTAAATATTTCCCAAATGCTTTACCAAATTCATTGCAAGTAGCTATAATCACAACAGGGATGAGAGCAAGTGCTGGCAAGTAGTTTTCTAGTGGAAGACGGGAAGATGAGTATAAACTGCACTTTTGGATATCTCAGCATTTAAATGGCACTTTCTTGGAAGCAAATCCTTGAACGGTTTGGCAAACAAAAAACCCCTAGGATTTCCACTAATGGAAAACTATTAGCTGACCTTGAAAGCATTTTTGGTGGTCCTTTCTGCAAGTACCAGTGTGAAATAAAATGTGCAGTAAGCATTTGGATCTGTCCTAAAAGTGCCTTTTTGGTTAAGTTATTCAAACTGACATGCTGCAAACATAACGAGTTGAAGAATTAATGCAGCAAATTAATTCTCTTAGGTTAATAGGCCTCCAGTCAGGGGGCTGTTCCAAAAAAAGGTGGAAGATGATGTGAAGTGCTCGACTTTCACCTCCTTTATAAGAATTCGGAAGAAATGTTATTTCTCTGTGTAAAGCTTTCTATAATAATTTCTGTATGTGCATAAGAAACATGCACCTGGAAGAAAGAATGGAAGTCTGATATTTTCTGATAGAGACTCATGCTTGGAGTTGGTGTGCTCTCTTCAACAGAAAAAAGAGGGTGGACTCCCCTGTCTGATTGACCTTTGGGCCCAAATTCATGTTTCAGCACAGACTAGGCATGGCATACTCCCATCAAACAGAAACAATTCCGAAGAGCAGTCTGGTCTGGTTAAGGAGAAGCAGCAAAGAGATGGACAGATGGCATCCAACAGATCGCTTGATGGTAGTCAGCTCTGAAGTATTTCAAGCTGGTGAGGGGCTGAGAAAGCTTTCAAAAGTTCCTGTAGCATTGCCAGTATTTGTAGATAGGTTTTTTTGCTTTGTGCAGACTCTACCTCCTAACTCATTTAACACTGTCTGAGGAAAGAGGTAATATAAATTGGCAGCCCTAAGCTTGCTACAGTACTTGTTAAAATTCTGTTGTTCGTATAATTTTTGCCATCTAATATAGAAGACAGTGGATCAGATGTCACATAGATTTTAGCTGTAAATCTGACTGTGCCACTGGCTGCGCAACCTCCGGCAAATCATTTCTTGTCTCATCTGTAATTTGTCATTACAGGCTAGCAGCTCTTCTGGGTGAGAATTCATTTACTTTTTTTTTTATTTATTTACAATGCATTGAAAAATGTAACAATTATTAAAAAAATACAGCTAAAAGTGCCACTGTATTCACTTTTTATTTTCCCCAGGGAATGTATGTGTTTTTGCATGCAGTAAAGGGAACTCCTTTTGAAACACCTGATCAGGGGAAAGCTAGGCTACTAACACACTGGGAGCAACTGGATTATGGAGTACAATTTACAGCTTCAAGAAAATTCTTCACAATCTCTCCTATAATTCTGTGAGTTCAAAACTGTATTACAGATTATTTTTTGAATCATAAAATCATGATTTCAAAAGCGGCAACAAAATGGGTTGCAGTTAACATTCTAAAAGCATTTTCTCTCTCTCTTTTTTTTTTTTTTTTTGCTTGTTTGTTTGTTTCTGCGTCACAGAGATAGGGAGTACATACTTACAGGCCATATAATCAACAGTCTTTGTTCCGGCAGCTTTCGACACTCCAGTTCACATACTGGTGTCGAAGTTCGTAAACAGTTATTAATGGGGCAGGTTTTAAAAATCAGAAACGTTATGAGGAAAACTTACTGTTAACTCTTGAAGTTCTTTAAGAGATTGTGAAGCCGTAATACTGAAAATCTAAACTAGTTGCTTTTAGTGCTTGCATGTGACAACATTTATTAACCATTTTGCAACTTGTGAGTTAGGAGGAGTGTGGTAGTCCTCACTGAATGGGGTCCAGGATTGTGCATGTCGGTTTTGCTTTGTATGGCTTATCTTCTGTTTACACTAGTTATGTAAATGGGTTAGAAATTCTACACCGCCTGTCTCTGTTGACAAAAGTATGGTTGCATAACTAAAGGAAATCAGCTACTAATTAAATATCCAATTCTAAAAAGTCTTTCTGTTTTTCACTCAAGGAAGTTGTCCACTTGCATGGCAAGAAGGGGGGGGAAGGGAAGAAACTGCATTGTGTTTACAAAGCTGTTCATAAAGAATAAAAACTGAAAATATAACTCCTCCAAAAAAAAATCCGCTCTCTATTCAAAGATAGCTTCACACGTTCCAGTGAGAATTTTGTGTAACACTTGTGTATGGTTCTCTCCATGCACTAATAATGCATAAGCAGCTGAATAAACATCGAAGTTTTGCTGGGTAAAAAAAAAAAAACAAAAAAAACCCCAAACAACCCCCCCCCAATCAGATAGCCTCACTTCTGTGGCTAGTTTTTGCAAAAAATGAGATAAAATTATTGGCTCAGAGTGTAAAGAACTCGGTAGTGAATTGGATTTTCTGAGGCACATTTCCTTATTCTTCCACTTGAACAGGTTGTGGACTAGCTTAAAAGAAAAACGTTCTGGAAACGTCTGCCAGACGGGAAGCATTTTAAAATCACACCAATCACAGATGTAAATTATTTTCGCACTGAAATATGTCAAATGCTTTGTCACTGAGCTTGCCATCGTAGTGAGTATTTTGGTAGCAGATCTTATGCTATTTAAAACCTGTATCATAAATCAGGCTTGTAGCTGCAGAAGTCAGAGACTCCAACTTGAGGGGCGGGGAGAAATTCTGGAGGAAAATACTACCTGAGAGTTGCTTTTTAGCACCTTGAGAGGCATGGGAAGAAGAGGCAGCCCATAATTTTGCTGTAGATATTCTAGAACCTCAGATGAGATATTTAATACAGTTGTTAATCAGTAAAATAATATGACTGGTTACTAAAGCACTTTTTTCAACAATGCTTTGTTTGTTTATTTTTTAGGCGAGAGCGTTATCATCTAAGCTTGCTCTCTTTTCTCCCACAGGTACTTCCTGGCGAGTTTCTACACAAAGTATGATTCGACACACTTTATCCTCAACACAACCTCTCTCCTGACTGTTCTTATCCCCAAGCTGCCACAGTTGCATGGTGTTCGAATCTTTGGCATCAATAAATATTAAGCAGAAGGTTTGACACTGACAGCCCCTGACATGGCTACTGGTGCTCCCCAGGTGAAGGAAATGAGGAGTCTGCTCTGCCGTGTATCTAATCGTAGTCAATGAGAGATGCTTCTACATCTGAGATACAATTCCTTCTTCCTGCCGCAGCATTGTCTGGGATGAAAGTTGAGTTTATAAGAAGACTCCTTCTAATACTCAAATGTGAATCGGAAACCTCTAGAGGCAAGATTTCCATGAAGAACTGGGCAGGCCCAGCTCTAAAGCGTCGTCCCCACTAAGACTGCGTGTGTGCCTGGCTTATGCAAGTGACTTGTAAGGCAGGGGCGAGGGAGGCATGAAATGGAGAGTAATGTTTCACAAATATCCAGTCAACCATAATGCAAATGGTAACTTTATTTATAAAGGGCCAAGGGCTGCTGAGGCCGCATTCTTAGATTAAGTGAAAAGTTGCTAGTTTCTGCTGTATGGATTGTAGGTGGTTGTGCTCGTTACTGCGTTGTAAAAGTTTGTCTCACAGTAGGTACCGTGGCAGCTAGCATAAACTGATGGTGTAGTTCATGCCTTACCTGTTCTTGTGATTTATTTTTTTTGTCACAAAGACTGAAGAAAGTCCTTAACTGTCAGCTCAGGGGATTTCTACATCAACTTCGTAGCCGAGTTTATGTATGCTTTCACAAGTTGCCACTGTTGTGTTTATTTCATTTTGCTGCTTACCAGGATACTGACTTTTCTATGTGTAAACGGGACATCCTGAGAAATTGAAATGTCTTTTAAGGTGTGGATTTTTGATTGTTTTCTCTGATACTTGACTGATGGGCTATTTTTCAGTGGTTGAGAGGCCTGTAATGGTGGGGGGAAAAAGAGCTGCTGCTGGAGGAAAAGCAGCTCTATTATAGAGCAACAACGTCAGAACACATAAAAGAAACTATGTAGGTCATAAGTTAGAATAGAAGCTTAACTAGAAGTAGGTGAATAGGCAAATCATGTGGACTAACTGTATGCTTTTGCAGGAAAAGGTATAGATAATTTGCATGTCTTGGGAATGCAGAGGAATGCTGTGTTTTAGGGGTACCGTGTAGTACGGGGTAATCTTGTATATAATCAACTCTGGAACTAGAGTGAAGGCGCATCTAGAGCCCTGAGCACTTCTTTATCTTGGAAAAAGGGTGAATTTTGAAGCCTACTGTATGTCTGCCAGCCAAAACAGGCTCAGATTTAACGGAAGACTCCATTTAAGACTTGATGTACATTTTGGTTGCAGTGACAGCCAGTGAGCTGGGAAAAAAATAGAAAATAAAAAAAAAGAAGACAAAAGCCCTCAGTGGCATACTTATTTTTTTGCTAAGAGAATTTTCTGGCGATTTACTTTACCAATAAAGATACTGTTTAAAAGAAAGGGGGGGAAAAAAGAAAGAAAAAGTAATGAGTTACGAAATATTATTTTTTTTTAGCAATTGGAATGGATTCCTCGTTTGTACACAAAGTGGTAACAGGCTAATTTTTGAATAACGACCGTCACAAGACGACGCTGGGCCTTTGGGGAAAAAAAGCCCCCACTGTTTAGCGTTACGAGTGACAAGGACTTTTGAGACGGGGACCGTATTTAGGGACGCAGAGCGGCGGCGGCGGGCGCTGGCTGGGGCCGGGCCCGCAGCGAGGGGGGGCGGGATGCCCTTGGCGGTGGTACGCAGCTCTTGGCTTGCGGCATTAAAATGCCTTTGCCCTGGGCCGCCTGCCTTTGCTCCTCGGCCTTGCCGGGGGACGGC